ATTATTTTTGTTTTAGGGAATTCAATGGTATTTGAATTGTAGTCAATTAATTTAATAAAATATTTTAGGTTAAAATATTTTTTCCGAAGAGGAGGGGGTGTGTAACGTAGGTTACTAGATTTTTACTAATTTATCCGCGTTTCCGTTAATTAAATTAATTTGCTACTGATATTTTGTGGCTACGCGTGACCTCGGTTGCAAAGCACTCTCCAGTACAAACCGACGTGCGCGACGCGCTTCAAAAACTCAATTCCCCACCGCTGATATCTGCGCTGCCGATCGACGACGACATGACGCGGTGCCTCCCGCTTATAAATATAGCAGCACGCACTGCGTTTGGTCACTTCTCTCCGAGCTCCGAAACCGACCAGACCTACCAGACCGCTCCGACCTGCCGCAGCCGACCGATAAGGTAAAACCACCGCCGCCGCCGCCAGTACCGCCGCCGTCAGCAGCGCCGCGACGCCAGATGTTAGCCGACCGTTTAATGTAAGTACGGGTAAGAATGCAGGTATTTCTTCTTTCTCTCTTCTGTACACGGGTTGATCGGAGCTGCTGGCTGGAATACGGACAGGGCAGCTCTGTTCCTTCCGTGACAGAATAAAGGACGCTACGGGCTGGTGACAGGGTAGTGCTCTTTATTCTACACATTTCTTCTTCCTCTCTTCTGTACACGGGTCGACCGGAGCTGCTGGCTGGAATACGGACAGGGCAGCTCTGTTCCTTCCGTGACAGAATAAAGGACGCTACGGGCTGGTGACAGGGTAGCGCTCTTTATTCTACACATTTCTTCTTCCTCTCTTCTGTACACGGGTTGACCGGAGCTGCTGGCTGGAATACGGACAGGGCAGCTCTGTTCCTTCCGTGACAGAATAAAGGACGCTACGGGCTGGTGACAGGGTAGCGCTCTTTATTCTACACATTTCTTCTTTCTCTCTTCTGTACACGGGTTGAACGGAGTTGCTGGCTGGAATACGGACAGGGCAGCTCTGCTCCTTCCGTGACAGAATAACGGACGCTACGGGCTGGTGACAGGGTGGCGCTCTTTATTCTACACAGTCCTTCTTTCTATTTTCTGTGCACGGAGTGTTCGGAACTACGGGCTGGAACACATAAACAGGGCAGCTCTGTTCATTCCGTGGCAGAATAACGCACGCTACGGGCTGGTATCAGGGTGGCGCGCTTTATTCTACACAGTTCTTCTTTCTCTCTTCTGTGCACGGAGTGACCGGAACTGCGGGCTGGAACACATAAACAGGGCAGCTCCGTTCGTTCCGTGACAGAGTAAATAGGGCTACGGGCTGTGATACGACCAGGGTAGTGCTCTTTACTCTTCACACCTATTCTCTCTGACCTGCATTCTGCTCGGAGTAAGAAATTCGCGCACGAGGCCCAAAGGCCTAATCCTGCAAACTGACGGTGTAGATACTGGACCGATCCTGGTTCCTGGAGCTTTCTTTTGCCGATTAACCGTTACCGTAACCGTCACCGTACCGTAATCTCGAACCGTTAAATTCACGCGACTAATCCGTCACGCACACGCACTTCGTTCGCTCCCCCTCACTCTCCGCTTAGCATTTCCTTTTATAAAACCTGTATCTTAATTAAGTTTTCTTGCATTTCCTTTTTGTATTATAAATTATTGGGTAGTCAATAAAAACTACTTTCTTGGTTGGATTGTGTGTTTCATTTTTGGGAAATGCGTAGGGACACCTGGTTTTCCGTCTCCACTGTTTAAAAGCTACCTAGAGCACGTGGGCCCTTAACCACATTAATCCTAAGGGTGGCGCCCGAGTTTTCCGAAAATTCCGAAATCAACCGCTTTCCTCCTGGAAAACCAAAGTAGCGCTACAACTATTAAACCGGTATCGCACCGGTTCAGAAGCCGGTGAATTTTGGAAAGTGCCCATAATACTACCATAGACTAGCTTTTACTTTATTTATATTTGACAATTTCACTTTTATGTCTACATCTTTCTGATGAAGCTACAGTGTAGCGAAACATGTTAAAGTTTAACAAAAAAATAAGTGGAAATAAATAAGTATAATAATTTACTTTAAAAAAAAATATTTTACTAGATAATGAATTTCCACCTTGTAACAGCCGATTCAATAAAAATCTTATTTTACTAGTATGCCGCATGATAAACATAAATGATACTAATTTTTGATCTGTTACAAGATGCAAGTGTCAACCAATTAGAAAATATCGATCGCATGCATAATTTGAAATAAATAAAACAGACTCAAATTACGCAAATCACCTTATAGAATTAAATCATAATTTTAATAATGAATTTAAAATGTTGCATAATGAAAACAAGGGCATAAAATTAAATCTTCTCGAATCTCTAGAAATAAACGAACATAAAAATTTAGACAGTTTACTGAACGACAACTTAGATTTGAACAATTCACCACTTTTAAATTTATTTATCCACTAGTGGAATAAAATAACTTTATTCCACTAGTGGAATAATGAAATCAAGAAATACGAAATTTTTATTTTATTTATTGATATTAACATTAACATTTATATTAATAGATACTCCGATATTTGATTTGTCTCCTATAACTTCGTTATTGTTAGTAAAAAGGTGATAATTTCCATCAGCTTGGGAACGCACGTTTATGGGTGTTTTGGCAGAATTACCAGGAACAGGAATATAAGGTGTCTCCTCTTGTAAGGGACATTTTCTCCTTGAATTTTGTTTGCAATACTAAGCTTATTGGAAATGGAATCCTCGATATAACTTTCAGCAACAGAGAAGCTCTTTCATCCGCCACGTTTATGTACGTGTTGTAGCGCTACTTTGGTTTTCCGGTGGGAAAGCGGTTGATTTCGGAATTTTCGGAAAACTCGGGCGCCACCCTTAGGATTAATGTGGTTAAGGGCCCACGTGCTCTAGGTAGCTTTTAAACAGTGGAGACGGAAAACCAGAGGTCAATATGCGCATCCTCAAAAGGAAACACAGAATCCAACTTACAAATTAAAGTTTTTATTTGCCCAATTACACAAGATAAAAGGAACAGTGAAAAATGCAATTAAATGAGAGACGAAGAGCGGGGAGAGTGGAACGAAGTCGGCGGGAATAATGTGTAAATACTATGTACGTGGCGGAAAATCGCGGTAATAATATCGCGGAAAAATAACGGTATCGGTCAATAGCATTGCGGAAAAATAACGGTTTCGGTAAATAGCTCCAAGGAATTATTGATGCTAGGCTGCCGTGCTCCTACCACCTTCAGCTCGTATTCCAGGCGCATGCGCGAAACATGCAACCGAGTAGAGTGCAGGTTTAAAGAAAAGAGAAGGACAGAATTGGAGGGGTGCGTCACTCGGTATCGGTTCGGTCGGAGACGTCCCCACCAATCCTCTACGGAGAGAATAGAGCCGAAACGCTATTCGATCCGCAGTCCAGAGAATGACATAAGTATTGGAATGGAACCAAGAGAGATACCCCGTAATCGGTCCGGACAGACGCTCTCTTGGCTCGTCATGGAAAGATTAGAGCGCCCCGTAATCGGTCCGGCAGCCACCCCGTGCAATCCATGTCACCAATAAATATGCCAATGAAAGAAGAAAGAAATGTCAGAAATATAAGGATAGAAGCAAGAGTGAACCCCCGTAATCGGTCCGGACAGACCCCCCCTTGCCTCGTCATAGAAAGGATAGATAGCCCCGTAATCGGTCCGGCAGCACGCTATACAATCTTTGATCCTTATACCCCTTAGAAGAAGATACCTGCCCTCTCACTCTACTTTACCATTGTTGGCAGCGTCGCGGCGGATGGCGGCGGAGACGGCGGCTGAAGACGGCGGAGACGGCGGCGGAGGTCGGCGTACCTTGGCTGTCGGCTGGTCGGATCGGAGCTGGAGTCGGAAGCGGAATCGGAGACGGAATGCCGGTTCGCTTGCAGCGCGGCTATATTTATAGCCAAAAATCCTGGTACCGGCTTCGACGGCCGCGCGCAAGGAGTGTGGGTACGGCGACGATCGCGCGTCGTATCCACTCTACCAGTGCGGAGAATACGAGGTCACGCGATCATGGGGAACTGCAGCGGGTTGCAACCCCTCTCAGAATCTACTCTACCCCGGGGTGAGGCTCATAAAATCCGATTGATTGAACTCGCGCTAATTTTTAACTAATTGAATGACCGGGATGCACGGAAAATTTAGTAACCTTCGTTACACACTCCCTCGTCTTCGGAAAAAATATTTTTACTTAAATATTTTATAAACTATATATAGGAATAAAAAAAAAAATATGAACCTATCCGGTTCTCTAAAGCAAAATAAAAGGTACTGAAAAAAATTAAAATTAAAACTATATACCCAAAACGGAAAATAAATGTCCATAGCTGTTCCCCGATGGTTCTGGCAATGTCAGAGGGTCGTCTCTACAAACGGCTGGAATCGTCGGGGTCTACGGCGACTGGTGGTTCCTCAGGCCCCCCTGGTACCTCACCAGATATAATAATATTTTTTTACAAATCGGGTTCGCCTCTGGATAGGCGACCATACGGACAACCACACAAGCGACAAGGCCGGTACTTGAGCTGATGCAAACAACACTGCACCCCTACGGATGCTGTACTCTGTCGCCTGGTTGCCGGTAACTCCCGGTGTGACACAGATGCTTTGGTATATGGCTTGGGCTTTAAGGCACCTCGGTGTGTCGGCGGAGTAGACGTGGTCATATCACGTAATGAGCTTCGGGCTGCTCTCGAAGTTGACGGTTGTGGAGGTTTTGACCGTGACTCACACGGACATTCGGATGACAAGTACCCAACATGGCCGCATCGAGAGCAAAAGGTTAGGGGCTTGCCCTTACAGGCATTGCGGCGATGTCCGGGGTAGCCGCACCTCCAGCATAATTCCTTTTCGACCGGCAGATATATATCATCAAACATTCGTATTTGTTTGGAGGTGGTCGGCTGTGAAGCGGTGGTTTTTGACGGAGTAGCGGCCGGTTCCAAAACGGTATTTTGTGCTGGAACGGTAGCAGGTGGCGAGGCGGGGCTGAATGAGGGTATCTCTGCGGCTGCCCTCTGAATATCGCCTCTCTCGGGATCTTCGGCAGAATGCGGATAAGTCGGTATCCCAAAGGGATCGGTAAACGGATCAATCTGGTCCACGTTTTGGAAGAAAACGGGTTCCGGATTACTCTCTTCCAAAGCGTCTCTAAGAGCATCTTCTACATTTAGTGCAAGCTCAAGAACTGGGCTAGACATCTGGAAAAAGAGAAAAAGAAATAAAATAATAATTTGGGGTTTTAAATGGAACGGACCCTTGGAGCTATTTCGTAGATTTGGAGCCGGGTAACGGATAAAATAGGCAAGAATGAATGAAACTCGGATGCCCGAAATAAACGTAACTTTATAAAAAATCAAATTCCCAACAAATAAAAGGTAATTCAGTCAAAAAAACAAAATGAGGAAACGGTGGCAGTTCTTATTATTTTTTTTTTCACAGAGCGGAGGGCACCATAATATGGAAGCGGGATCCATCACTGGCCCGTAGACGCAGTCGGAATCGGCGGGCGGCGGGAAAGTTGGCAGGTCGGAGCCTCAATAAGGCTTCCTTATACGTGGAACTCCACTGGCTCCAATCTGGCTGCTTCTGGAATTGGTCGGCAATATCCCGTGATTGAGGCTCGAAGACCATCACGGCTGAGCTGGTCTTCTGAGTGTTCGATTCAGGCCTCATTGGGAGCCTTTCTCCTGGTGGCAGCGGGAGTTCCATCACGGTTCGGGGCAGTCGAGGCTTGCCCTTTTCAGCCCACCAATCCCATAGAGTGGGATGCAGACGGGATAAATCGGTGGTGACTTCAACTCCTCGCCGTCTTATAGTATTCGGTACGGGTGCATATGGGACGGCGGCGGTGACGGTGGTAGCTGGAGCAATTGAAGCGGTGCGGGCACGAACTCGGGATTCGCAGCGATAGCGGGGCGGAGATAAAACGGACGACTGGATATCGGCGATGGTACTGGTAGTACCCTTCGAAGCCGTTCTGGCTAGCGGGCAAGGCTGACAAGGCTTGCGCTCCCAGCGCACTTTTTCCGGAACTACCGGTGCGGCTGTTTTAGACGGTGGCGGAAGCACTTGGACGCTGATAATGTTTACTCTATCAGCTGGTGGTTTGACCGTTGCACTAGTAGATGGAGCAATGAGTGGCGGCCTTGGATCAGTAGACTGGGGTGTTACGGGAGCCGCCGGGAGTAGGTGGGCTCGTAAAGAGGAACCGGAAAATCGTGAGCGGTATTTTCTGATGGTCTGCTTCACCTGCTCTAGCTTCAATCGGGCTTTTCTCTGCTTCTCCAAGCCGTCTTGACGTGGAGTACCCAGAGTTGCCGGATCCGGTCGAGACTTTTTGGGCGGATTCATTTCTCACGTCGGGGTCGGATTTTTCTTATCGGGCAACAACACAAAACAACTACACACTGTGCTGCTATAAACTTGAAAACCGGACTGAATGAAAAAAAAAAAAAAACAAATAAAATAAACAAAATTCCAATGCGGATTCGACGGTACATTCGAGTAGAAAAGGATGTCTAGGTACAGGCTGGTTTAAGATCTTTGATGTGAATATGTCGGAGCTTTTTACCGGAACCGTCCTTTAAATCATAGACGACGCGCGATACCACTTTTGAAACGGTGTACGGTCCTGAATATTTTGGGGCTAATTTCGCGGCAAATCCTTTAACAGCGGACGAAAGCAGATTTTCCCTTCGCATTACTTGGTCTCCCACATGGCATCTCCATTCTCGGCGGCGCAGGTTGTAATTATGGCTTTGAGTCGTGAAAGCTCTACCAAGATTTACTCGGACTAACTCATAAACTTCCTGTAGTTTCTTCAGACGTTCCGAATGAACGGCAATTTGCGTAGGCACGGATTCTTCATTTCGGGCATCCTCCGCTGTAGGATTACGGTATAATGCTTTGGGCGGGTCTAGTTCTCGGCCAAAGTTTAGAAAAGCCGGTGAAAATCCGGTTGAATCCTGTCGGGAGCTGTTAAGCGAAAAGACAAGTTCAGACAGGTGAGCGTCCCATTTTCGGTGGTTCCCGTCACAAAACTGGGCAATCATAGTCTTGATTGTTTTGTTAGTACGTTCTACAGGATTTGCCTGCGGAGTGTAGACTGGGGTAAGGCGGTGAACAATACCCATCTCCTGCATAAGCTCTTTAAACGGTCGTCCAGTATATTGAGTTCCGTTATCTGTGAGAACGGTTCGTGGACACCCGAATTTCGTAACGACTTGCTCATAGAGTGCTTGTGTAACAGCCCGCGAAGTCGCCTGTCGGATCGGTCGGCATTCTACCCATTTGGTGAAGCGATCCTGGAACATAACTAGCCAGTTATGCCCTTTTGTGGACCGGGGTAGCGGACCTATTAGATCGGTAGTAACCGTCTCCCACGGTTGTGAATTGCGAGACGGCTGCATCTGACCTGGAGTTTTCTGCTGTGATGGTTTATAGCGTTGGCAGCAGAGACAAGCCTTGACATATCGGGTTATGTCCCTCATCATACCTGGCCAATAATATTTCCTACAGATTCTGGCGGTTGTTTTAGCTATACCTTGGTGTCCGGCCATAGGAGAGTCATGGTTTTCCTCCAGTACAGACATTCGGGCACTTTTGGGTACGCAAATTTTCCACGGGTCAGACATCTCATTTTCGGTCAAATCGGACAAACCCCAAAAGTGGCGGTATAATTGCCCGTCTCGGATGCAAAAATCAGGAAAATCGGCAGGATTGTTCTCCACGGAGGCCTTTTTAGCACTATACCAGCTACACGGCTCAAAGGCTTCCAGGCTTAAAATCGGTTCAGGCTCCTCGACCTCGAAACTATCAGTCGGGTCTCGGGAAAGCGTATCGGCAACTTTATTGAGAACTCCTTTGCGGTATTTTATTTCGAAGTCGAACTGTTGGAGATAAATACTCCATCGAGCTAATCTACCGGACGGACTTTTCATTGAATGTAGCCATTTCAGGCTTTGGTGGTCGGTAACAACGGTGAAACGGTAACCCTCCAGGTAGGGACGCATTTTCTCAATACCCCACACTATTGCAAGGCATTCTTTTTCGGTAACGGAAAATTTCTTTTCCGCGGGACTCAAACTACGGCTTGCATACGCAATGACATGATCGCCATCGGTACTATGTTGGATTAATGCCGCACCTAACCCATTATCGGATGCATTTGTTTGCAACACGAATGGCTTCGAAAAATCGGGACAAGCCAAGATTGGGGCTTCGGTGAGGTGATTTTTAAGAGTATCAAAAGCCGTTTGTTCAACATCGGTCCAAGTCCATCGGATGCCCTTTTTAAGTAGGCGGTTAAGTGGGCTAGCTATTTGAGAAAAATTCTGTACGAATCGGCGGTACCACGAGGCTACTCCCAAAAAGCGTCGTAAGCCACGGATACTGGTCGGAGCTGGCAGTTCTCGGATTGCCGCTACTTTGTCGGGATCCGTACGGATTCCTTCGGAAGTGACAAGGTGTCCCAGATATCGGAGGGAACGTTTTCCAAATTCACATTTATCCGGATTCAGTCGTAAATTGGCCGCTCTAAGACGTCGGAAAACTTCGGTTAAATTGTTCAGGTGCTCTTCAAAAGTTTCGCCAAGGATTATAATGTCATCTAGATATGCAAAGCAATAACTATCTAGCTCCGGGCCTATAATGCTGTCCATTAACCTCTGGAATGTAGCGGGGGCGGAGTGTAACCCAAAAGGCATTACTCGAAACTGGTATAGACCCATTCCTGGCACGGTGAAAGCGGTAATCGGTTTGCTATCTTTAGCAAGCGGTATTTGCCAGTACCCTTGTTTAAGGTCAATGCTGGAAATGTATCGGGCGCGGCGGAGTTTATCCAGAATGGCATTGATGAATGGCAAAGGGTATGCATCCTTTCGGGATATGGCATTGACTTTCTGAAAGTCAATACAAAACCGGTGCTTGCCATCTTTCTTTCGGACAATGACCACGGGAGAACTCCACGGGCTAGCGGACGGTTCGATGATTCCATCGTCCAGCATTTTCTTAACTTCGGTGTTGACTACTTCTTGCATCCGGGGATTTTGCGGTCGGTAACGTTGTTTTATCGGTTCGGGATTCAGTAGATGAATGGTATGTTCCACTAACGGAGTAGTGCCTTTGATTTGATCAAACTTTGGCAGTTCTCGGTCCAGAAACTTCTTTAAAAGCACCTCTTCGGCGGACGTTAATTCCAGGTTCGGCGGATTATCTATCGGGCCAATCGGACTACATAAAGTAGGAAACGGTAGAAGACAGTTATTCAGATAAATCTCGCCACTGCCCAAATCCAGGTGGAATTTGTGTCGACTCAGAATATCCATCCCCAGCACAATGTCGGACGTCAAATTCGGAAAGTAGCTGATGGTTTCGGTCAGTGTAATGTTTCCGAGCTGTAACGGTATTCGGTAAGCTTTCGAAATGTCGATTACACCCCCATTGGCCACTTTGGCGCTTCGGACCTCAGGTAGTACTTCGGGATAATCACTGAGTCGGCATATATCTGCAGCGAGGTCTCCTATATATGAGTTGGCGGCTCCGGTATCAATTAAAGCTAAGAACGGAGCCTCTTCGATGTAAATGCATACATGTGGTCGGGAATCCGGTAGACGAATCGGGTTCACCCCTGTCGGAAAATAGGGATGTCTATTGGAGGTTATCGGTTTACGGTGCTGAGCTGACCTCGGACTAGGACCGCACCTTTTTAGTTTCCCGAACGGGAACGGTCACATGGGCAGTCTCGGGACATTATACCCGGTTTTCGGCAACGGGAGCAGAATAATTTTGCAGTATTCCGGCATTCTGTTCTGCAGTGTCCAGTTTCTCCACACTTCCAGCAAATCATTGCTTCGGATCGATTGTTCGGTCTAGAATTCCGTTGGTACGATTCGGTTCTATTAGTTCTTTCGGCTCTTCGGTTTTGTTCCCAGCGTCTCGCTGGTGCTGGGTTTGTCGACGGGTTTTGGGTAACAGAAATGCCGGCTGGTGAACGGTGGGTACTTCTAGATGTTGACGGGGTTGCCTTTAGTTCGGACAAAAGGCTTTCGATTTCCCTTAGGGTGCGGGAAAATGAAACAACATCGGTAATGTCGCTTTTCCGGATATGTTGTCGGTATTCCGGTAAAAGGTTTCTATACAACCACTGAAACTCCTGATCTGGAGTTATGCTTCCATGCCTTCTGATAAGGGTTTGCAAGTCTGTAATATACCGGTGGGTTGGCTCGTTCGGCTGTTGGAGCCGGCGGCTAATTTCAATCTCCAGATCGGCGGCATAGTTGATCGGAAAATAGAAGCTACGAAAATCGATCAGAAATTCATCCCAGGTATTCCAGTGAGCTCGGTTATTTCGGTACCATAGGGATGCATCACCCTGTAAAAGTTCTGGAATATGCGGTAGTAATCGGTCTATCAGTATCCCCTGGGAGGCACAAATTTCCTGTAGCCTCTCTATGAATGTCACTGGGTCGGTTCGTCCATTAAAATGGATATTCCATTTATGTACTTTTAGGGCCATTCCCGGAGATCCGTATGCGACTGGAGAAGGCAACGGTTGGTGAATGTTTATAGTCGGTATCGGCGGATTAAGCAGCTGAGTTGTACCTGGTGCACCAGTATTAGCAGTACTGGTTTGAGTCAGGGCAGCGGTACTATTTGCCTGAGTCGTATGCGTGCTGGAATTAGTCGGAAAGATGAAACCTGTCATAGTAGTCGGTGCTGGTGAAGCCTTTCCCTGACGATAAAACGTCACTAGTCGCTTCTTCAACGTGTCAACGGTACCCGTAGTATCTAATCCAAACTTATTTAGTTCCGCAATCAGTTCATCCTTCTTTAATAGGTAGACAAAACCTACACGGCCATCGTTGGGATCGTACCAGGCGGGGTAAGCGGTTATGGATAGACTAACTGGCGGATTCACCGGACTGGTAGTGACCACGGTAGCGGTGGTGGTACTCGGTGTACTAGTAACGGTTGGGTTGCCATTGTTGCCGGTGCCTCCTGGCATCGTAATTCGGTCGGTTAACGGTAGCGGAATGCGGAGTAAGGGCTCAAATGGCAACGGCCTTCAGCGGCTAGTTAACAGCAGGTTTGTTAGCAGGCTTACGGTTACGGTTACACTCGGTGGTACGGTACGGTTAAGATTCGGAATGTTTTCGGCGGCGGTCGGAAGAAGAAGAAATAAATAAAAATATTCAGGTTGGCTGACCAAGTGATCAGGTTGACGGTCGGACGGTAAGTTTGTTTTTTTTTTAGATGTTCCTCCGTTGAGGTTCGGACGGTTTTCTCGGAACGGTTCGGAAGATGTTGCTTCTTTGAAAGCTCGGTCGGTTCTATCGGAACGGTTTACTAGATGTTGCACCTTTGAAGGTTCGGACGGTTCTCCCGGAACGGTTTAATAGTTGTTGCTCCTTTGAGCTCTCGGTCGGTTCTCTCGGAACGGTTTGGTAGATGTTGCACCTTCGAAAGCTCGGTCGGATCTCTTTTAAATCGGGTGACAATCTTATCTTATATTATTCCAAGGCAGTGGGGAGACATTTACCACCAAAAGTTGGTGGGAAGATGAGAGCTAGTACGCACACTCCTCTCTCACGTTTTACTATTCGGTCAATACGGCAAATTTCCGGAAATATTACGAAATGTGGCAACCTGGCAACCGGTACGAAATACTACTATTCTAGTAGTAGAATGAGATTCGGCAATCTTGATTTAGTCGGAAAGATGGTGTAACTCGGTTTTCATACTTGCGCATGCGCAAAATGAATCGGGCGGAAAAGCGGTTCGGTATAGGTTGATCGGTTTTCGGAGAGCGGGCTTCGTGAAAAATGGCGGCGGACGGTTGGATTGTGTCTCACTATATCAGGAAGAAAATTTAC